CTTAGCAATGCATATTACTAATCAAAAATTAAGTTTTGATATATTTATGGTAGGAAATTTACAAAATATCTTCATGGAACATGATCTTTACTTAATATACTAATGATTTTTGGCATAAAAGAAAAATCGGCAATTTTGACCCATACAATGTTTTTTTTGGCTATTGCTACAAATATACCTCAGCGACTTAAGACTGGTTTTGTGGTCCAGGGTCACATATTTGATAGAGTGTGAGAGGAGGAGGAGGAGGAAGACAGATGTGAAGTGTCAGTCCCAGTCAAAGCTCAGAATGTTCTCTCACAAAGCCCAGCTGTTGTATATAGCCTGTGCACAGACAGATCCACTCCCTCCGGCTTCACTTTCCCCCTCGCCACCTATCCCGGCCCCTCGTAAATTATGATCGGGAGAAAGCAGCACAAAAGCCGGAGCCCAAGGAGACCTAATTTACAACACTCTGTGCTCACCCTCACCCCTGGAGAAAGAGAGAGCGTTAACGTCTCCGTCACAACTAGGATCAATAGAGCTTGTAAAATTCAGCTCCATCAAAACGGCTGAAATAGTCTATCAAGACAGTTCAAAGCAGTCATGAAATTCAGATTTCACTCTGGGTTTTATTCCAAAAGTCGGTTAAGATTCTTCCAAGTCAACGAGAAACTCTAACCGTCAGCCATCTTTGGACGAATCTGTCACAATGAGGTCCATGTTGATTTTGTAAAGCGCACATTTACATAACGGCATTGCAAAAAAAACACAGCGTTAAAGCAGTAAAACCTCAAACTCTTTTCAGCTGAACTCACCAGAGACATTTCAGTCAAAGTTTTGATATAAATGTAACACTCAACTCTCATTTGATCTGCGCAACACCTACACTGCCGAGGTACAACGCAGAAGAAACACAGTCATGAACCTGAAACTTCAACTTCATTTTCTGCTTCTATCTTTATCTCTCACATCAAGAATGAGTCACTCCTGGAGCCTGGAGGTGAAGAATCACGCGGATTAGCATCATTTGTTTTTCCTGTCTCCTACTCTGAAATATCACGTCACTTTGTGCCCCTTAACCTCAACAGATGTGCTTCTCTCCCTGCTCTAAGAGACAGTGAACATCGATACACCTCTTCAGCTTAAACAAAACAGTGAACTCACTCAGTGACTGGTTTAAAAGAGTAACCACCCTTCATTGAGGTGCCTACCTTCCACAATCTTCCCCGTCTGTTCCGCAGCTCCTCCAGGTAATACTTTGGCAACATACGCACCAATGTCCCCATTGCTGCCCGGGACCTCTTTTCCTCCAACCACACGGATGCCCAGTCCGTTTCCTATGAGAAAAAGAGTATTGCATACACATAACTTGGTCCAAAACCTGCACCAGATGGTAACAAGCCTAGAAGACTGTCTTGTTTTTGTTGTTGTTTTTTTGATAAGTGAATTTCCATTTGTTTCTGAGGTGGCAATCTTTGGAATTAACAGAATAAAATAGTTGATTTTAGTGTGCAATTTTAAAAGTTTTCCATGACTGTTCTAAGACATACATCCTGTAATCCAGAATCATGGTACACAGACCCTTCCGTTACCTTAATTACAGTGCAACAAATTCACCAGTCACAGCACAGGACATTCACCATAGCCTTATTCATTTAAGGCACTTGTTTATTCATCAGTTTCTAATTACGAGGATAATCCCATTTGTGAATTACATGCCATTTTGAGCTTTGATGACTGATGAAACTGGAGGAATGCCAATCTGCCACATTGCTGCGTAATGTCTGCCCCGTTCTAATGCTTAAAGGAACACTGACACAGGAGATCGAGGGGAATCAACCACACCTACAGTACGTGACATACCAAACCATGAGGAGGGGCTAGACAGTTGATGTGCTTTGGCCCAGCGGTTTCATGTCTGTTGACATTTTGTGTGCAATGATGTGGCAAAACAGAGTGCCACAAGAGGACGCTAAAGGGAAACTGGAGAAGAGCTAATGTGTTGTTTAGTAGTAGGTATAAAATAAAACTGTGCCAATGCAATCTCAGCATGGTGAAACTAATGTTTGCATAGACATAAGCCTCGGGCATCTCTCCGTGATGGCCTGGTAGGCGAACAGATCCTCTTTTATCAGGGGCAGCTATCCTAAACGTCTGTCTACATTGTTGGAGCATGTCAGGAAGCCAAGCAGCACAGCATTGAGTATTAAACAGGTTGCACTTACCTGATACACTACGATCTTTGGGATCCCTCTGTAGTTTAATTCTGGCATGAGGAAACGGGTAGTGTGCTGACTTTCCCTAAAGGAACACCAAATTAGCAGAATCAGACTTCATTTTCTTAAAGGGTTAGTTCACCCGAAAATGAAAATTAGGCTGTTTTTTACTCACCCCCGAGGCATCCTAGGTGTATATGACTTTCTTCTTTCAGACGAATCCAGTCGGAGTTATATTAAAAATTGTCTTTGATCTTTCAAGCTCTTTCGTTGTACTCAGCGGGTGTTGCAGTGCTTCGGTTCAAAAGACGTGAAATAAAAAGCACCTTTCCATAAAAAAAAGTGTCTCACACGGCTCCGGGGGGGTGAACAAAGGCCTCCTGTAGCGAATCAATGCAAACGTAATAATCACTTTAATCTAGCTTGCGCTCACTGTTGTACATGGAAGCAGTTCCGGGGGAATCATTGGATGAACTAACCCTTTAAGTGTGTTTAGAAACAGTCATGAAAGTCTACTCCGTTTACTGTCCACTTAAGTGTTTCATTCGTTTATTATCTTCAAGTACAGGTTTTTAATGATTTAATTTTAGGATTACAATTAGGCTTACTTCTTTTTCACAAGGATATATGTTGTCAAAATAAAAGCATTGCTGTAATAACATCGGAATCACTTATTCTGGACTTCATTTTGATACTGCAGCCTAAATTAAGTCGGCAGTCATATCCATAGCCTGAAGAGTTTTGTTTCCACATAGAGCGACAGTTGGGAGAAGCTTTTGTCAACCAATCAAATGAGTTCTATGATGCCGTGCCAGAAAAGCTGACCAATGACAGCAATCAAAACGTGATTCTCATCAATCAATGGGTGGCAGAGAAGACAAACAATAAAATCACTGAGTTAATTGATTATGTGGATCCCACCACCTCGTTTGTTTTGTTAAATGCTGTCTACTTTAATGGTAAGTGACATTATATATCTGAATACTGTACCTGTTTATTTTGTATGACACTTGTCATAAAGTTTGTTTGTATTTCTTTGTGCTTTACAGGTAAATGGAAGACAGTTTTTGAACCAACAAATAAATGGGAAAACTTCATGAAGTTTTCAGGTGGCGCAAGCTAGATTCAAGTGATTATTACGTTTTGAATATGGATATTTTTCTAACAAAAATGCATCAGTTCGCTACAGAAGGCCTTTGTTCACCCCCGGGAGCCGTGTGAGACACTTTTTTTTTATGGAAGGGTGCTTTTTATTTCAGGTCTTTTGAACCGAAGCACTGCAACACCCGCTGAGTACAACGATAGAGCTTGAATGATCAAAGACAATTTTTAATATAACTCCGACTGGATTCGTCTGAAAGAAGAAAGTCATATACACCTAGGATGCCTTGGGGGTGAGTAAAACACAGCCTAATTTTCATTTTTGGCTTAACTAACCCTTTAACACTCTAACACACAATAATATGTTTCTGAAAAACTGTGATATGAATTTTTACAGTGAATCTAAATACAGTCGTTTTTGTCTGATGACCAGGTTTCTAGAAATGTCTCATTTTTGTAGGTTTCTTGCAGTATATATTCACTGCTCCTCCCGAATTGTGCTGAAATGCTAATGCAAAAACCATATGTATCACCTGTCTTCTATCCCCTTGTCCGTTCTCTGTGCGTACATCTCGTGGTTTATCAAACCAGTCAGTTTCCTCCCGTCGCAGGTGGTAAGCTTCAGAAAAACAGATGGAAATTAAAACGTTAAAGTCTGTTAAAACAAACCCCTAAAGACCCTTTGGTAATATCAGGTAGAGACAGCTAAGATACATATGCAGTCTCAAATTCAAACAATATAGAGCCATCTGGGACAGAAAAGGAAACGGTTATATAAAGTAGAGCAGTTATTTTTGCATGCAAACCTAAAACTAAAACAAACCCTGAGGATACATATCTTCAGATTGTATTTCTTTTTTCTATATGTAATTCTCCATAAGAATTCTTTAGAAGAAGATTTGGGGCTGGGTCTGTTTGCTACTGTACCTTCCCCTAAAAATCTGAAGTTTTCATAAGACAGGGGTTAATGACAGACAGAGGTAGGAAATATTTTGGCGTAGTATCTTGTATTGGTGTTGGCATGGGTCTTTCAGCTACAATGTGCAAAAGGAGAGTTTTATAGGGTTTTACATTCAAAGGCAATTTTAGATGTCAAGATGTTGTCATGGACAAGTGAATAATTGACCTCAGGTCATCAGCATTTAACAGAAGACAATTTTAGTGATTATAGACCTAACATTCAGATGTAAAATGATATGGTAGATGTAGATCCTGTTACATGCTCAAACACTCACTAACATGGAGCACTATTATTGTGTATAGCTTTATAAGCGTGACCAATTTTTATCAGGAAGTCATTACTTTAAATAGATTTGATATGCAAAACTATTACTAGTATTATATGAATGATTTTTTGTTAGCCAAACTGGTGAAATTGCAGTAGCTTAAACTGAGAAAATGAATGTTATTTTTTAGAGAGAAAGGAGTGTGAAATTCCAATTTAATCTCAGATGCAATAGCTGCATTCACTAACACAGCTTTACATTAGTGTGCAAATTCGTCATACTTCCTGCAACATGTTATGGAGATGAATTTGCGGTCGATTTGGTTGCCTAACAGCTCATGGGTGATTGGCAGGTGGGTGGTCATGGTAGCAGGGGTGTAGGGGAGACGTGCAGGAGTCTAAGGTGGTTATACTCTACCGTTTGTGACATTCTCATGTGAGTTTCCTGGATCGTCTCTGCTCAAACCCACCAGGGATTCACTTAGTGCTGCAACCAAGGCAAATTCATTTACTTCCAGATGGCACATTTGATGAACACATCATATGCTGTTAAATGTATGGGTCAGTTACTTTTCAGATAAATGAAAAACAAAACACGTTAAAATTGGTGAGTATTTTGGGTTTGAGCATGGCATTCTGTGGTTGTGTGATTCTTTAATTCTATATTGTGTAACAATTACAATATTCATGTTGTTTTTGTATCGTACAGTGAAGTTAATGTAATTTCATAGATAATGAGGGGAAGAGGCATGCAATGCATATCAACTACTGTTTTGATCTCATCAATCTTAAAACTATAGTTTAAATGGTTTCATTAAAAGTAGAAATCAAAAGACAAACATACACACACAGCTGAGAAAAAGCATAGCCCGTTCTATTTGAAGGCATTTATTAGTTCCCAAGTGAAAAGGATAGTAGATAAACATGCAAGAAAGTGAAAGAGTTTATTCAAAACCAAACAGGAAGAAACATGCACATCACTTGTTCTATTTATTAAAGGAACATCAAACATGAAAACACAAACTGGCATGGTAATATTTACTCTGGTACATGCTAGCAACATGCAAGAAGAGTATAATCTATCACTGAAAGAAGTTTGTATGGGCTATGACATTTTGTATATTCTGTATGCTATAACATTTTCTGTATGAAAGGAAGCTGAAACTTCTTTTAACAAAATTAAAAAATTAATGCCTGACCTTTACATAGAACAAAATATCTCATTAATACAGTTTGTTGTGGCTGAGGTTTTACATATAATTCAACATATCTATAAAGCAATACAAAATAACTAAATGAAGAGATAATCTGTGTTGTTATACTATGATTTTTTTTTGCTATAAGGCACTTTATAGATAACTAAATAACTAAAAGATAACACATAACTAATCAAGAACATGTGCAGCTCTATTGTTTAAAAGCAGCTTAACTAAAAATGGGTTATAAGGCTATTCTTATGTTAATGACAGGAGAGATTTATAATATGTCCTTTCATTGTTAGTGTAAGTTTTTCACAGCACAAGTACATATTAACTAAAAATACAAAGACTGAAAGCATGCACTATAAGAGTTCACACAGAAACAAAGTCAGTCTATGAAGAAATCACATGCAAAAATGTTTAAATCCAACTGTAACTATACCACAGAAATGTTACTATAGAAAGACAACTGGGACAGTGTGATTCTTTCATTATTTAAGCATAGGACAAGAAAGCTCAAACAAGACAGAAAAGCAGTTATCAGCAAAGAACTAATGCCTTCATATAGACTGGAATGAGCACTTACAAGATGAGACATAGACAAATAAAAATCTGGAACAGTGTATGAAGAGTCACTCCAAGAGGACAGTCTGTGGACAAACAAATTACCTTCACTATCAGACATGGTGCCCTGCAGATCATCCATTATCACATAGCCACGCCCTCTTGAAGGATCTTCTCTAAGATGCTGCTGTTGAGGGTCTTGGAGGGACAGACATGACCCAAACTGATCACGGGAGTCGGCAGATATGGGTGGGAGCGGACCTGCCGATGCCCGTGCCATACCCATTGGCTGACCCACTGGACTCAGTGGGCTCTCTTCCTCTGAATTCTGTGCCACAATAGGAATACGTCCACGCCCACCTTGTACAATGGGCAGGCTTGTAGGTTTTGACCTGCCTGATGGAGCCTGGAAAGCTGAGGTGTCTGAGGAGGGGTCACCTTCTGCTTTGAGCCTCAGAGATGAACTTGAGGTATCTCTTTTAATGGACAGGTCAAGGCCATACACAGAGGAGGGTCTAGAAGAAGGCCGTGACCTACTTCCACTAGGGTAAGCAGAGTCTTCTCCCAAAGAGGACCTCATGCCTGGGCTCAGATTTAAGCTTTGGCCCAGATTGAGTGAACCTGCCAGATTGGCCCCAAGAGTGGAGCCCAGGTATTTCTGCTGTTCGGCAATGTTCTTGCGTAACCCAAAGGTGATTTCATCCTGCAGAAGTCTGCTTGATCTGGGAGAAGCACTACTGGACCCCAAGTAACTACTATAGTCTGTTTCTAGAGCCGTGCTATCCTGGATGGAGGAGTACTTGCCTATGTTGCTGGTGTTTTTGTGTTTCTGGTAGAGCATAGATGTTGGAAGTTGCTTGGCAGCCTGTTTCTCTAAGGTCAGTCTACTGATGCTGTACTTTTCAGTTTTGGGGAAGGCCCTGTAGCCTCCACTAGACACTCCAGTGCTGGGGGTATAGTGATGTGAGAGTCCAGCAAGCTGCTCTAAGCTTTCAGTGCCCCCTGTGCTTCTCCGGAACTCCTGTTTCAGTTGTTGTTTTAAAAGCTTTAGTTCAAATGGCTCTTCCATTGGGTCCTCTTCATCTTGAGCCTTACCATAGGAGTGAAGTCTGGAGGAGCTGCCCAGGTAGTCTGTACCAACATCTGCAGCAGTGTGTCTCAGAAGACGCTCTGCTTTGGCTAGCTCCCTCTCAGCAATGCCATAGCTGGCAGATGAAAGGCTACCAGTGCTTTTTGCCAGTTCTGCTGCATCTTCTAAAATCATATAGCTCCTTGGTGTTTGATGTTGGTCTAAGTCCGCATAGAAGGAGTCAGCAGATACATTTGACATAGGACTGACTGCCATGCTTCCAGCACGCTCTTCTAGGCTATGCAAGTCAAGGTGGTTACTATATTTTCCTCCCAAGTAAGATGATGTGTCATAGTTGGTGGCAATTTTGGTAGAATCTAATTCAGAGAGGAGAGCAGCTTGTTGTCTGGCTTTCTGCTGAAGCAAGAGCATTTGGTGGTAGCTCTGTTGCTGTGAGGCAGTCAGAGAAGGAACTGAAGAGTAGATGGACTGGGATTGGTATGGCGACTGAGGCTGGTACAGGGACTGCTGGTACTGTGGGTATTGGTACTGGGAATATTTTCTATACTGGTCATGCTTGGTCTGTGGAGGAACAAATTCATCAAGTTCTGACTGTGGTGCAGTACGTGGTCTCTCAAGCCCATGTCCACTGACCTCCTCTCCAACTCTTGTTTCACGAATGTTACTCACCTCACTGTCAGACATGTAGTCACGGTCCTCTGCAACACTCTGCAGATAGGCCCTTTCCCTCTTCTCCCTTTCTTTGAGCAATGCCTCCTTTCTTCGGTTAATGCCCATCTCCAGGTAACGCAGCTTGGCATCAATCTCCTTTTCTTCCTCATCCAGTTCAGCTTGCTTTTTACGCAGTTTTGAGGATTCCCTTTCAACCAGGTCTAGTTCACGGTCAATGTCCTGCAGGATTTTTGCCCGTGCCATGTTAGTGCTCCGGCAGAGACGGCGACGAGCTGAGCCAGTGCTGTAGGCTGTTTGACCAGCGTTAACAGCTTCTTCCTCTGAAGGTGGGTTAGGAAGGGTTCTCTTAACTTTCTTTTGGGTGCCAGATGGAGTTGCACTTGGAGATTCCTTTCCCTTTGAATGACAAATAAAAAGAGCAATATGAGTGTTAATGAGAAAACTATTTTCAAGCTTAATTATTCATAGGAACAACCACAGTGCACATTGTTTCACAGAAGAACTTTAAAAACTAGCAACCCAACACTTAAGTTTTCTAGTTTGATTGAGAATAAAGGAGAATGGTAAAATAAAAAATCTCTAGAGGATTTTGTTCACTCATGTCAGACATGCCATGGGTGGGAAAACAAACACATACTCTATATCTGCTGTGCTGCTGCATTGCCTTTAAAAGGGCAAGCACTGAAAATATTAAAAAGACAGCTAGCATGTCATTGACTACTGGGCCTGGGGCAACATTAGAAAAACAAAAGAGAAATAGAGCAATAATACAATGATTCAGAGTTAATGTAAGCTGAACAATAGCATGAAGATATTACACAAAAAACTATTTGATAAAACTGCTTCAAGGCATTAAACATTTGAAATCATAGATTAACAAAGAATTATGAAAAAAGCAAGTAATTTTACAAGCTGAGATGAGTCTTCTTACAAAAATTAAACACTTATTTTGTAGCGTCTGCATAGAATCATGCATGATCTTTGGGTTTTATGGTTTAAGAGGCCCCTTTTAGCTTTTGCATATAAATTACAGTCCTGGTCACAGACGTAACACTTATTTCAGCCCCTTTTAAGGTGATTTTTGATTCTCTGATGTTTCTCAAAGGTTGTGTCTAAAATTGATGTGAAATACTGCCATCCTTTTCTTTTCTCTCTCTTTTCCTTACTTTGTTTCATTCTGTTTGTGTTTTGCTTAGTTAGTTATATGTTAGATATAGTTTCATTTATTAAATCCCTTATATTCACACATGATTGTCTCTGTTGCTGCTCACAGTTCAAGTCAATGAATGTTCCAACCCTTGCTACATTTGTTAAATTACTGCTAGCACTGCATAAATAAGGAAAGATTATTCTTCCTTGGCCAGGAAAATAATTTTTCTCTGAATCGATAAATGATTATTTTGTCTGCTCGGTGGCCGGACAGATCAAGTAATGGTAATATTGATTCTGCTACAGTTAATTCAAAGATCTAATCTAAATATTTATTATGAATCATAACCAGTTATAATTCGTCATAAATATTTCCCTTTTTGAGCTTGAAATTACTACATTTAAAAAAATCATGTATACTCACAGAGTAACCCTCAGAATACTGGACATTTGCTGCTGCCTTTTCTTCTGCAGTTGGGCTCATGGGTTTGGGGTCAGACATTGACCTTTGTATGACGTTGGGAGCCCTAGGACTTGGTGGACCTTTGGATAAATCTGTGGCAGAGTGTATTCTCTGTGGGCTTGTGTCTCCAAGGGATTTCTCATAGGACAAATACTCAAGGGATTTGCTAGGGGATACACAAGGGGAGATTGGAGAGTACAGTACTTTTGGGGATTTGGGAGGACCTTGGACAACCTGAAGTGTAGAGGCATCTGCTTTGAGGTGAGGAGACTGACCTATATCAAGTGGAGTGGGACGTCTCTTTGGAGAGGACGTTCTATCAGAGTCAGGATAATCTACTCTAGTATCTACCTGCACAGAGTGCCCCCTAAGTGTTCCTGAGGAGTCTGTTTGTACAGAGATTTCAGTTAGGGCCTGAACTGAAACAGCTCCTCTTTCACCCATGCCATTTTTACCACCACGTGGTCTACTGCGCCTGCCTCGAGCAGGAACTTCCCATTCATCTTGGTCTTCATCATCTGTCTGTACACAGCTATCAACACTTTTCTTTGTACTTTTCTTTTTCCTTCCTACAGTGTAGGCCTTTTCAGTATTATCCTCCTCATCAGTCTGGCAGCCACTGTCCATTTTTCGTTCTCCCGCCACAACAAGAGCCTCTGGCAGGACTTCACCTGGATACATCTGCCTGAACTTCTGCTCCTCCAACTGCTGTCTGAGCTGTTCTTGGAGTCTCTGGATCTGCTCTAACTGCTCCTGTTGCTGAGCATAAGTTTCCTTTTGCATCAAAAGGTGGGCCTGTCTCTCCTCTTCTTGCTGACATAGTATTTGCTGTTTCATGGCCTGAAGTTCTTCCAGCTCCTTCTGCACATAAAACTGTTCTTGTTCACGGAACCGCTGTATCTCCTGTCTCTCCCACTCAAGTTCTTCAGCCAAGCGATGCTGCTTCATCTTCTCTAGCTCAAGAAGCTCACGCTCCATCTGGTACTGTCCATCTCCTGGAACCAAGGGTGAAGATAGAGCTTCTAAAGAGGCTGCAATTGCCTCAAGTGAAGCATTTGTGTAGGTATCCATTGCTGCCACTGTGGTGACTGTAGCAACTACATCTGAGAGAGCTGTGGAAAGGCCAGCCTTTGAAACAACAGTCTCCAGATTTAATGGTAAGTCACTTTGTTCTTCTGCAGTGGTTACAGCAATTGCTGAAAGAAAGCTGTGCGATCTAGTGAGAGTTTGATTCTGTAGAGTTGACAGTGATGGCATAGTATCACTTGTGTGCATGCCTGATATAGTATTGTAGGATGTGCTGAAGATAGAGCCAGGCTGGGTGGTTATGGCATACGTAGAAGGAACTGGTGCTGCTACAGAAGAATAAACAATACCATTGGAAGATCTTAGGACACTAGAAACACCATAGTGGGTTCCAACTTCTGAAGTAATCCTGCCTTGAGTGTACTGTGGAACTGTCATTACAGTGCACACTCCTGTAGACTTGTTCGAATAGTTTACAGCTTTACCTGTTAAAAGTTCATTTTGTTAATTAGAGTTCAGCACATACAAAGAGTACAATGGTAACAGCATTGAGATAACCATGCACCATGCAAAGGATGAAAAATTAAAACAGCAAAAGTATACTGAATAGCATGCAGCGAAATGCAAAAAAATAAAATAAAATAAAAAATTGAGAGCATGCAAAATGACTTCCCCAAAAAAGGAATACAGGCAGGCATACAAAAAAAAATCAGCTGGGAATAAGTAGAGGTAATGCAAAATGATATCGAGAAGAACGATCTTCAATCTCATACTGACCTGCCACCGAGATTTTTCCAGATGTCAGGTCTACAGCACCTTCAGTGGCCTCCTTGTAATCATAACTATGCTTACTTTTATATAGGAAGAGACTAGCCTCTGCCAAGTTTGTGTCCGACATCGAGGGTTTAATGCCACCAAGACCTCTCATACCATAAGGAGTACGATCGTATTGATAATGGTCATCTCTGTAGCCAAAGCGATCCTCTGGTAATGGAGCTGAGGGCTGCTGAGTTGTACAGCTGCTTGCAAAAGGAAGATTGTAGACTACATCACAGCAGACTGCTCTTCTTCCGGCAGTAAGATCTACTGGTTTTCCATCATCCTCTGTAATTACAGCAGTAACCACCTCTGCAGTGGACCCATTCATTGCAACCACAGTCTGTGCAGGTTTTACTGTGGTGAGGTCAACTGCACCAGATAAGCCCGTTTCTAGACGAGGGGGTATAGTTGCACCAATGCCATTGCTTGCAATCGTAGGAGCCATTGTTACAGGAACAGTTTTACCCATTGTTGTAGAGAGATTTATGGGTTTCTCTGGTTGAGAATCCACAGGCTTGTAAATAATTTGAGACACAGGCTCAAAGGATTTAGCTGTTGTAAGTTGGAGAGGCATTGATGTAGACAGAGATGCATCACTACCATAAGCTACAGTGGCTGTGCATGTGAGGATGGTGATGTTGTCAGTAACCACTGATACTGAGGAAGTATCAGTGCTTAGGTTCACTACAGATGACTGCACAGCACTTTGCTGATGTCCACCACTATCAATAGCAAGGGACTGTCGTCTTGACTCAGAGGAAGACAGATCCACTCCTTTCATGGATGTCTCTGCATCTATCTTTGGGGTTCGGAGATCCACCACCTCACCAGGATGGTAGGCATGACCATTCTGCACTTGAACTGGTTCAGGTTTTATATTTACTTGATCAACAGAGATGCCAGTGGCTCTTGGAATGGGATGTGGAGGAGGTGTTCTTTCATGCACAACTGACACTGTGGTTCTTTGGACTTCAGTGGTAACTACCTGAACACCAACATTTGGAATAATTGACTGAGGCTGCGTTGAGGCTGAAATAGCCTCGTAGACATGACTCATGCTAGAAACTACCTTCTCTGGACCACATATTTCTTGACTTTCAATAGATTCAGTAATTTGATTGAATGCCAACGGTACTCTAGTTGTTTGTGAATGTGGAGGTGGTTTCTGAAGTGATTCTTGGCTAGGACTTATTGAGGCTTGGGTTGTGATACCTTCTGTAGGTGAACCGGGGTGAGATGGCAAAGTAATAACAACATATGTGTCACGTAAAACCTTGCCAAACCTGGGGGATGTAGGGGACTTGAGAGGAGATGTGGTCTTACTTTCGGCAGAAGGACTTAGATTAAGGACACTATCTGCACTGCTTGTACTCAGTATGGAAGGTCTTGCAGGTGTGTGGGCAGTAAAGGGTGGCTGAGCACCAGCTATGGGTTTGGGAGCTATGGGTGGTTTAACAGTCTCCCCAGGTTTGTGACTGAAGGTTAGGCCTGCAGGGATAGAGGATGGCTTAGGTGGTACAGGAGGAGGAACATGGGGCTTATAGCCTGGAGAGAGAGGCTGTCTTACTGGTACACTGTCCCCTGTGGTTGACATGCCAACTGGAGTACTTCTTGGGGGGACCTGTGGTGGAGTCTTTTTAGGATACATAGAGGGTTTGGGTAGTGTTAGAGGGGGTAAGGGTGGAGGAACTGGAATGTCTGCTTTTTCCAGAGATGCAGCTCTGCGTAGTACTACTGGTTTGGGAGGAACTGGTGGAGCAGTTGATACAACACTAGGTATAGTGGATACTATATAATGTGGTACTATGGGCAAAGGTGATACACTTACAACTACTGGGGCCGATGGTCTTGAAATTACACTAGGAACTGGTGCTGTAAAAGAGTCAATTTGACTAGAGGCACATGACTTGGACAAGTCAACAACACCTGTCTGCTCAATTCCTGCATCTTTCTCTGTGGCATCCTGTGAATCAGTTGATACTGCAGGCAATGTTACTTCTCTTTGTAGTGACAAATCACCTACGACTGGCTCTGAGGCTGATGTTGTATGGAAAGCCTCATTCACAAGTGGTTCTGGTTCAGTCTTTGTAACTGAAACCGTAGCTTTCTTAGAGTCCTGAGCTTGATCAGCAATGCTCTCGTCACCAGATTCCTCTTCACCTGATGAGCACTGTGTCACTCTCAGATCAGGTATAGGCAGTATTCTTCGTAGGGGAGCTGGCTCGGTTTTTTCAACTTGAGCTATTGCTGTCCCTTGTGCCATGCCATTCAGATCAGGGCCTGCTTGAGTTGGACTGGTTCCTGGAGTTAGTACTGCTCTTTGCTTCTTCATAAGTTCTTCATAGGCAGTTTCTGCATCTAATAATGGTTTTCCATTCTTTCCGGACTGACCTGTGATGCTTGATGACATAGTGCTTTGCTCTTTGTTTGAGTCAGTATCAGGAAACACAGTTTCTGCTTTAGGAACATCTTGTACTGGCTTACTATGTGTTATCTCCTGTTCATTAAGCATCATCTCTTTCTTTCTTTGCATCATGTCCTCATAAACCTCATCAGGTGATCTCAGGGTTTTTTTGGGTTTCTCTGACACAAAAGGTTTATCTGGTTCCTGCTCATGGGATGCATCATCAACAAGAGACTCATATGCATAATCTTCTATCAGCATGCCCCCATAAAGCGATTCTTTACCAGGTGGATGTTCCTTTCCATCATTAGTTGGAGATTTAACCTTGAGTATAATCTCTTCATATGCCTCATCCGCACTTCTTAATGTATGCTTTCTTTTTTCTTTGGACTGACTATCAATGTGTTGCTCATCCGTTGGAGAGTACAGTGAGACTGAAGTTGGTAAATGATAAACTTTTTGGACAGCAACAATCTTCTCAGGAAGAATCTCAAAGCTCTCTGGTTCTGACTCCATGCTTAGGGAGAGGTCTGAGCAGGAAGACCTGCGGAATTCCTCCATCTCTGCTTCCTGTCGTAGCTCTTCCGTGGGAGATGCATCCTCAATTGGTGAGAGGTTGCTTGGTGGAGTTTTGGGCCTTTCTCTCCTTCTCTGTGCCCGTATCTCTTCTTTGTCTTTCTTTGACTTTTTTCCTGTGCCCTTCTGCTTCTCCTGTTCTCTCAGAAGCTCTTCTTCTTCTCGCAGCTCCTCTTCCTCTGATGAATCCTCAATAGTAGGAAGCATCTGACCTGGCTGCCGGTGCTTTGCTTTCCTCTGCTGTTTGCCCTCACCACTAGACCGAACATGACTTGGGCTGCTGCTGTCACTGTCTTCATCAAGAGAAGACAAAGATGTTGGAGATGTTCCTGGGGTAAAACTGGATGCAAGTAAACTGGAAGAGCCTTCACCTCTTGACCTGTCATCAGGAGAGTCTGTAAGGCTCTCTAGCTCACCATCATCTGATGTCTGACGTACAGTTGCTGTACTGTTGAGTTCAATTGTTTTGAAATGTCGTATGCCAGCTCCATTGTCTACTGAAGGTTGTTCCCCTTTAGCTAGTTCTTCAATTTTAGTTACAGAGATAATACTCTTCCGTTCAGGCTCATCTTCTGGACTGATACTGCTCTTTTTGAGATGGCGTCTCCCTTTGCATGACTCACTTTTGTTCTTTTCATCTTTCTTTGCATTTTGTTTCATTTGCGACTTCTCTTGATCTTTAATTTTTCGTCTGGCAAGGTTTTCTTCATCAGATGGTGATGCATCCTCATCTGCACTCATCTCTATGATCTGCTTCCGGATGAAATCCTCCTCGTCCATAGGACTCTCCATTTCTACTTCCTTATCTCCAACAGTCTTTTTCTTTTGCAGTTTAGGTGAAGGTTCTCCCTCACTACTGTCCTCAAAAGAATCTCCTTGGATATCAGTTGGAACCAGAAGTTTTTTCCGCTCTTTTCTTGGTGCATCAATCTTTTGCTTTTGAATTTCTCCATGTTGGCCATCCTCTGAGCTGGGTTCTGGAGATATCGGCAACACCTCCAGTCGACGCTTGACCTTTGGAGTTTCAGTTTGTGATTCCTCTTTAGATGTTGTCTGAGCCTCTAATATTGGAAGGACGGTGCTTTCCAACTTGGCCAAGTCTGAAGGGCTCGTGGGACTGCTTTCTTTATCTTTCTCACCAGGCTCCCTCAGTAGCTCACTCTCTTTCACTGGGACAGCAGCCACTTCTTTGTTCTACAAAACAGAATTTTTTTATTTATTTAACATGTTATGATTTCAACCATAATAAAAACATGCATTATATTTAAAAAGAGAAATGAGAACTACATAAGATAAATGTTGGGATATTGTAGGTGTCTAGACAATGAACCTAGTTTTTCTACAATTTATCTATACCTCTACCTAAGATCAACTGTTGGATACTGTAGGTGTCTACACAATTAACCTAGTTTATCTACAAGATATCTATACCTCTACAGCTACATGTACAGTTACCTCTCCAGATTTTTCAGTTTTATTAGGCTTTATCAATGGCTGTAGCACATCATCCCATTTTTCTTGTAGTTCAGAGGTCAACTTCCCCTCCTCTGATTTGTTTCTTTCCTGTTGGCTAAATGTAGATGGTGGGGAGACTAGTTCTACATCATGGTCTAGGCTATGGGGCACACATTTTGCTATAGATTCAAATTTAGCTTTTTTGGTGATTTCCAGGTCAGTTACAGCCAGTGATTTTTCCATCAGCTCCTCTCTGGCTAATTTATCTTTTTCACTAGATGTAGTAGATGTTACAGCAGGGGTTTGGACTTGTTGTGTCAACTGCAGCTCTTCAGGCTTGATCTCAATTAATGCTTTTTTGTCTTCATTCTTACTAACCATCAGGAATGAGGGGACTTCTATTTCCTGATCAGTAAGACCGTTTGGCATGGCAGATTGTTCTAGATCTTTTTCTGTCACAGAGTCTGGAATCTGCCTAATATCTGTCTGTTCTGGCAATATGTTTTCTACCATCTCATTCACGGCTGCATCTCTTCAGGCTTGATCTCAATTATTGCTTTTATGTCTTCATTCTGGCTAAGCACACGGGATGAGGGGACTCCTATTTTCTGGTCAGTAAAGCCACTTGGCATGACAGACTGCTCTAGAGCTTTGTCTGTCACAGTGTCTGGAATTTGCCTAATTTTCTCTTCTTCTGGAAAATTTTTTTCTACCAACTCTGAAGCATTATCATTATTAACAGATGATAGTCCATCACTAATGACTTTACATTCATTCTCTTTCTCGGTAACAACAGCATCTGACTCTGTGTTTTGCTCACAGACTTTCTCTGTTTCTGACATTTTTTTCTCTGGTTTGGGAGCAGCTTCGTGAAGAGCTGGAGGGTATGTATCCTCCATCTTTTTCTCTTCTATGTTATTATCTGGACTAATCTCTTGTTCAGAGAAAGTGCTTTCAGAACTACATTCAAATTGTATGTTGTCAGACAAAGTCTTGAGAGTGACTTTCTGCTCTGTGTTCTCAAAGATTTCTAAATCTCCACCTGCTTGATCTGGCATACATTTTTCCAGCTCCGTTTTATCTGTGCTCATCTGTTCCTTTTCCAGTGGCTTATCCTCTTTTTCAACACAGAGCTCTTTAGTGCAGTGCTCCTTTGGGTTATATTTCCAACATTTTCAGCTCTATTTTCCAATATTTTTTCTGTGAAGTTGAGTTCAATAACTGGAGATGGTGAGGGCTCATCTAATTGTGTCTGTGATGTGTCCTCTACCTCTATCTTATCTTCTGTTAGACTTTTTTCAGAATTCTTATTGTTATTATCTACAGAAATATAATTTGCCTTAAGACTAGAATCTTTGCTAGTGACTTCTGACTTTTCAAATGGGTTATTTTGGGGGGATAACTGTGTTGTTTCTGTAACCTGCTCTTCTGTAAATTTGTTATTTAAAATGGCCTCCACTATGACCCCATTTTTAAGTTGATCTGCTTTATTTTCTGGCTCTGCAGATACTTCCTGATAAGTAATATTATAGGATGGCTGATCATCACTGGACTCAATCCTTGGTGCCTCAATTTGCACAGAGGCTTCAGGTTTCCTCTCTGGCACATTCCCTATGCTACTTTGATCATGATCAGTAGTTGCTGTCTCGATAAGAGCTTTCCTTTACATGCATGTTATCTACTGTATCTACATTTGAGGGTTGTGTGAGCTCTTCAGATTGTTTCTCTGTGGTCTGACTATGTGGTTCCTTGTTTATAGGAGAGCTTGCATGAGACTCTGTCATTTTGATCTTTGTTGCTGGCTCTGATGTCTCAGTGCATTGTGGCTCTATTTCATTTTCTGAAATAGCTTCCATGTCACTAACAAGAAGGGTCTGAATTACATTATCAATTATAGGTGCTTCCTGACTGCTTTCAGGCTCTGTTTCAAAAGTGTTAGCATATTCTGGCTTTTGGACCTGGCACTGTTCTGGCTCACTTTTATCTGCATTCTGTACCTCTGTAGGGTCCTCAGATTGTTCTACAATTTCAGCATGTTCTACATCTGCCCATTTAACATTTGCCATCTCTTCTAAAACATGAGGTGAAGGAGGGGCATCTTCCTTAACTATTTGCTCAAATGACGTTGTTAAGCCCTCTGTGTTTTCATTCAGGGTGCCAGGTGCTTTTCTTTGATCTTTTCTGGTACTACCTGTGTACTCTTCGGTACTGGCTCTGCTGTAACCCCTTGTTCTGCATCTGTATTTTTTACATCTTTAGCATCAACTTTGGCTGAGACTGGCTCAGACTTTTCAGCTGGGGCCTGAGATATGCTGGGCATCCGTTTTAGCCCTTTGGCAAGGTTAGCAGTGGCAGTAGGTGCAGGAGAGGAAGGGGTGGAGGATGCAGCACAGGCTGGGGAGGATGGAGGGGTGGGTTCGTGTTTGGCTGGTAACTTGGATGGAGAAGGTGGAGGTGGCATATCCCCAAGTTGCCCAGACAGAGCCCTTTGGGTCTGGCAGTTTAGGCAGAGCCATTCTTTCTGTAAAAAATGAATAATAGCAGATTTGAGAGGAAGTATTGAAAGTTGAGGTGCTATAATACATTTCCAGCCTCTGATTTTTCAGTGTTGCACAACCCATTTAACTAATAAACATCTGATACTACAGCAAAGGATAACTTACTCTATTTCTGGAGTGATTTTAATTGTATGTAACCTAAGATATTGTTAATTTATTATTAATTGTAATGGGATGAATCTTTATCAGTTCAATGTCAGAAAAACCTGTTCAGCAAAAACTGCACTTCAACAGTTTACAGATGCTAGTGTATATATGGAGTGAACACATATACATTTGTATTTGTGGAGGTGGGTGCAATGGTCTTTATTTTTAGGCTAATATTGAAGTTAAACAAGCTAAAAGATTAAGCAGTTTTAGGCAGTACTGTGTAGATATACTTTAATGTATGGTATCCCTCCAACTTACAAAGGTAGGCTACACAAAATAATCTATTTAGAGTCAATTAAATCTGCTAGCAAACACATTGGAAAATGCAATAAAGGGAATGTGGTCTATAGTTGTTCACGGAAACTATCCTTTCAGCATAATTTACTTGAGACCACATGGGAAAAAAATTCTATCCCCCACTTAAGCTGTGATTGAGATTTGAACACAGCTCTATTAAAACTAACAACTGTTTATAATGACTGTTTCCCTGATATTCCAGCCCACATGAATTTATTTAGACAGATTTCAAAGATGTATTTTCTAAAGAAAAACAATGGAGCTGCTGAAAGCTACAAAAAGAGCAACACTTGAAATGTACTGAACCTTGTGGCATCAAGCAGAGAACTCCATGACACTGGATGAACCACAAATGGTAACGTCAGAGATGAATATTACATGTTAATGGGGGATGCAGATGCCACAGTCTTCTCATGAGGAATCATGCCCCACTGGCTGATGCAAATTCAGAGCGATCTATGTTAGGCTTCAGTGCTGAGGCATGCTTAGCTATATTTTGGTTCTCCAATGGCTTGGCTGCAGGGATTAGTCTAAATCTAGAGGAGATCTGGGATCCCTGTGCCACGCAAGGACAGAGACACTCTGAGAAATAGATATTTCAAACCACACACAAGTTGTATGGCAAGACCCAATACTGCATGTGTGCAAGGACTGAGTTCAAGGACAAAGACACAATCCTAATGAAACCCTATTAGATGAAAGACTGATGTGATTGTAACCTTATGAAAAGTACTTGTCTTTCAACATGCTGAAAGGTACATCAGAAGAGAAGGATATATTATCCTATCTATCTAAGGAAACAATGAACAACAATTACAAATCTAGGAAACTAGGAAAATAAAAATATAAAGACTTTCAAACAGTCAGGTCAAAGTAATGTTAGCTGGATCACATTAATTGCCAGTAAATATAATGATCAGCAAAAACAGATGTCTGCTCTCACAGTGGTTACCAAGGTAAATGTTTAAAGGGCTAGTAATGTAGAAAAATGCAAAATGATCAATTATTAGTACACAATGCAGCTTGAACCTGAAACATGGACTTGAAAATGAAAGTTGCGCTCAACCTTTTCATGTAATTCATCAGCCACAAAGCAATCTGCCCATGTGCCAGATTACAAATTACAAGATCAGATAGAGGCGATGTAGACTTGGAACTGGATGAAAATCTATTTGACTCACAGGTCACAGACTTCAATTACTATATGAAACATAAATTGAGTCATTTTATTCAACACATGAATAATTCAACATTTATTTATTCAACACATTCTCTACATGATCTGGCTAGCATACTCATGTATTTCAAAATTCACTAGGATTTACTTGCCTCACAAACAGAGGCACTAGGCACTAAATCCATCAGCCCCAGAGGTGAAGAGACTGTAAATGATGCAATATAACGAGAGTTCAGGCAGTCACATTATTTGTGGCTCGGGCTGAAAACATTGCTTGTCTTCTCACCACTCATTCTTTCATATTTGCTGAGTTTGCAGACAGGAATATCAGACAGAACTACATGACGGTTTTTTTTTATGAAGGCCAGAATTCTTAAGAGCATCTTAGGCTGCTAATAAGGGTTTGTATCTGAGATTTATTACAGATTATTTGAATGGGAAATCGCAGGCGATTCATTGCCGATTTTGAACGCGATTTTGTGTAGCTTGTCAGTGATCTATGGCTCTGTGTAGTAAATGCTGCTCCATCTGAAAGCACGTGCTGGAGATTTACTACTAATCACCAGAAGCGGTTTTACTGACGAGATGCGCATGAAAATCGCATTCGATTTTTTGCACAGCCCTAGTGTACAGTAGAGAAAAATTGGTTTAGAAAAAAAATGCATGTTTATGCAATGGTGAATTGTAATTTTTGTAGCTTTTTCAATGAAGTTCAATGAACCTGACCTTAAGTTTCCTTCTCTGTCAATCAGGAAAAGTGCTTTAGAATCCTTATCCAATGAGCACAGATGGGTGTGCTTACTCTCAAAGCCAGAATGTGTGTATGTGCGAAATCTGTCAATAAAGGTGTGAAACTGAGCTAAATTTACTAAAAGCCCAAAGACTATGACAGTCTTACTTTGCCAATGAAATGCATTCACTTACAAATCCTACCCTGTCAATCGAAGTTTCCAGCAAAATTATTTTTAATTTTGTGTAAAATAATAATAAAAAAATTACTATGGCAATTCCTTCCATCAGATGCTTTCCAAATCTTTGTCATTTTAATTTTTGATGTCAAATTTACCACAGTTTTACTGTAGTGACACAATAGCTGCATTTTGGTGGAATCAGTGGTTACCAAGGTAAATGTTTAAAGGGCTAGTAATGTAGAAAAATGCAAAATGATCAATTATTAGTACACAAAACATAGACACTCCAGTTATACTGTAAGTTTATCTAGACTTAGATACATAGAATAAACCTTTTTATTTAATTTATAGATTCAAATGTGACCAAATTAAGTATTCAAGTCAAATAGTTTTCCTACTTCTGTCATAAACACACAATAAGCAAACAAATAGGAAGTCATATTTTCTCAGTAACCTTTCCACACACTTCCTCCTCCAAATTCGAATATCATTCACCGCCTCCTCTCTCACTCTCAATGCCCTTTCTTTCTCTCCTCCTCTCACATCCGCCACCCCTCTTCCTCTCCTTATTAGCTAGCTACAGTAGGTCTGTTTGAGGTTCAAACTTCCTCTAAGACTCTGTGTTGGCACCATACCGATTTCCTGGTGCTGTCTGCACGGTTAAAATGTGCCAGTTTTCATTATAATAAGTGTCTGATGTTAACAACACACAAAAACAATAAAAAAAGGAAAACAAAAAAAACCTCCAGATAACTCAATGTATCTGTGGTCTACAAGGTGAGTTTTATATCTGTTAGTTTTTAAGTAAACTAAAAGGCTAGTGTAAAAAAAAACAACATTAAGTTTAAAGAGATATTATACACATTAAAATTTTGAGTCAGCATAACACGTGTATTTCGCAGTGGCGAGACTGCTGTCTTTGTACACTGAGAGCTTGGTTTAATGGACAGGGTGCCTAGTGGCTGTCTCTCAGTCATACACACACAAAACACCTTCACATCTAAAAATACGACTGCTTTCAAAAGATCAGGGAGAGGATGGCACGTGGTGGACACTGCAGGAATGTGTCTGGCCTAAAAGAGAGGCTTTCGAGCTCAAAGGAAAATGCACACAGTCACATACACAGCAATACAAGCTTGCTGCCACAAAGAGGAACATCTCCCATAATGTCCTGCAGTCATTCTTGGCTCTGCCTCTACCACTCTTTTGCCACTCTGGCTGTTTTTGCCTCAATGTACTGGAGAGTACAGAGGCACAGCTTTGACTGCGAGCCAGACAGACATGTAGAATAAAATACAGACAGACGGGACTGTGAAAGCATAACATTTAAGTCACACTGTATGATTAAACCAAGAATAAACAATGAATATTTGAAACTCCAGATAAAACAAATATTTGGTGCCTCAGCGTGACATTCACATGGACACATCGTCCTGTAGATTAAGAGACCGAGCGGTGTTTTTCAGAAATGCAGGCTAGAAATCAGAAGATTGCTAAAGATAAACAAAGCAAACATCATAATCAAACAGACAGGCGGACAGATCTCCATGGTGATGGAAGGCACACAGACACACACGTCTGTACACATTATATAAAGTGATCAAATAGACAGATTGGGAGACAGCACTTGTAGCTATGGGAACAGCACAAGCAGACAAAGGAAGGTTGAGTAGCTCTTTAAGGCATTCAAGTTGAAGTATTAGGAAGAATTAGGAAGGAGTTTAACTTCTCATTTCTAGGCAAAAATGTAAACAGACTTGCAAAATTTGTTTATCCAGCTGATCCTGTCAATAATGAAGAGAATGAAATAAATATTTTTTTCTTTGGCATAATGTGCAATGATGAATCATGCACATTGAGACTAGGAACACGTATTTAGAAAGTAAATTATGATTTCATGTTGACTTTAAGAATTAGATGAACATGTAAACTGGTGAAATGCATATTGACAATAATATTCTGTTAAAATGTACCCTTTTTTCAAGCCTGAGGTTAATCAGGTCAAAGACAGAATGCGATCACCCTTGCTCTACAGCTATAGAGAGACAGCACAATAGCATGAAGCAGTTCTGGCTTCTAGATGCTCAGATTTAGGGAGGTGGTGGATTATGTAAAACTGTGGATTTCTGCTCTGAGGGAGGCCATGCAGTGCTGTATCTGACCCCAGGCTGGAAATACTGAGGAAGGGGAGTCAGCTAAATCTATTAGTCTGGTGGAGTGGGAGGTGGATGGGTCACAGTGGGCGTGAACGTGTGGGCAAAACCTTCGAGAATAGAGACATGGCAGAAGAAAAACAACATGCACTTTATTTCACGTTACACTGGGCTGTCTGTGAATATGCAAGGAATGAATGGGTCATCTTTGAGGTGGGGGCGCACTGTGGGGAGGGATGACACATAAGGTGGCTGGCAAGTGACTCAAAGCCTAAGGCAGATGGCCAACCAAAAAAAACAAAAACAAACCAAGAGTGTGAAATCTAATCTCTGGTCCAGTTCTCTGTGGGACTGTTGTGAAACTGTCAACATTGTGGCACATGAAAAAAAAAGTGTCACACCTGATTTGCCCAACATTACCTACCTCATAAGCCATAAAAGGACAATGTTACATTGCTTATTAACTAACAGGACATGTGCAACTAAGCACAGTACTGCCAATTACAAGTTTGGGCAACTAAAAACATTTATATAATAATTTAAACTAAAGAATCTGAATACTTAAAGTCTGTGGATGCACCTTAATGAAATGTCCCGGGTTAAATACTGTCAAGTTAAAGGAGTATTTCAGGTTCAGAACAAGTTTAATCGACAGCATTTGTGGTATGATTTCCACAAAAATTCATTTTTGAAACATGCCTCATTTTATTAAAAAAAAAAAGAAGAAAAAAAAAAAAACAGAAATCAAGATTATGTTGAGGGACTTACAATGGAAGTAAATTGGGCCAATTGTCATTTTTTGGAGAATTTAAAATTCAAAAAAAAAAAAACATTAAATATTAAACAACATCTAAATATATATATATATTTAAAAAATACTTTCATTAAATTTTCTGTAAAATTGTGTATTATTTCAGCCGTAAATTATTCTCGTTTAGGGTTTAAGGCATTACGTCAACTGGATATAACTTTACATAGAAAAGCTTAGTAAGTGATTTTTTTTCACACTAATATTATGATAACATGCATTTTGTTTATGTCTTGTGGTTATAATATTGCAACAGTCAGTATTTTAACGTGAATGGTGAATGGATTGGCCCCATTCACTTCCATTATGCCTCACTGTAATCCAGATACTTTAATTTTTTCAAAGAAAAGGACAGACATCGAAAATAAAATCAAAATTACATTAGAAGTTATCAAATGTTGTCGGTAAAGGCATTTATAATGTTACAAAAGATTTCTATTTCAGATAAATAGTGTTCATATCGATATCGGAATTATATCGTATCGACCGAAATTAAGAAATAGATTGTGATATCAATTTTGGCCATATCGTACAGCCCTACCTGTAATATTCCTGCAAGACATGAGCAAAATGTTTATTTAAATAAATAAAGCATGTTAGATTCTGGGCAGATTCTTAAACGCTTTGTGTTTTATATTCTACATAGATTGTCATGTCTAGGGAACATTTCCAACCTTCTTCAAAACAAACAGCGAGAAATGCCAAAAATGAGAATGAAGAAAGAATAGAGACAAAATATAGGAGATTCTGATTCAAGTCATATAAATCCACGGAGGAGGATGGAATGAGGCAGAGGATCAGCGCCACAAGGAATTCCAGTCACATAAGTAAAAAACCCGATGGAGAAGGTGTGTTGCCACTGGAGAGACAGGGAAGAGAAATAATGACGAGAAACGAAGATAATCTTTGAAAACCAAAGTGTGTCATATTAAAACCTTGTACATATTGAGAGATTTTAAAATGTGGCCCTTAAGTGGCCTTTAGAAAAACTCAGCTGTTGCCCTTTAAATCCTATTAGCTCAAACAGATTACTACACAAACTCTCACATGCACACTCACCCCACATTGTCACAGTAGCACAAGTAGTGTTGAAATTTCACAGGAAGAGGGAGATATATATATATACTAAATCTAACCTCAAGTGAGGATGTTCTTCAAATGGAAGCACTGATCCTGATAACACAATTTTGTACGGCCTTGAGCCTTTTTGATCAGAACAATCTGATGAATAAACAACACACTGCAAAGACATGTAGTCTCATGCATTAACGTCTACTATAATAAGGCCAGTCTACTGTTAAAAATGACAGGACTGTCTCTGCTTTCAGTTCTGGTCTTAGCGAAATGGGGATCAGTGTTGTCAGCCATCTTGGTAGGGTACTCCTGACAGTATAATAAGTGAAGTCACTGGCTGTACCGTGTGAGGTGAAACCAGATGCACATACTCAGGCTAATCTGTTTGGAAAACATGAAATAGACTCATGGGATTAGATAGAAGACAGAGCAACCTGGTGTACAAACCAACCATCAAACACAGGGGATGGTTTAAATGTGAGAGCCATCAAAGGCCGCGGCGTGCAGGTCAAAGCATGTCAGCTTAACATAACCTGCTCATACGGACAGAAGAACATGTGAGGTTCCCTTGAGGAATGTTATAATTTGTTTAAAGACGTGCTTGGAATAACAATTATTGACGTATTTTATTACAAAAAACCAACACCACCACTAAATGTACCAGAATATACCTGATTAGCCTCATTTTACAGCAAATTTGGTTACCAGAGTAAGTGGCTTCTTTCCATATGAAAAACATTGCTAGTTTGTATGTCAGAGAACAATCCTTGAAATTAATACATTTAAATTATCATAGTCAAGTTAATGTAGGTGTACAATACACTTACCAAAAAAAACAACAACAACAACACACATTATGAGATTTGATATGGCTTCAGGAAGACAACGGTGTCCCACCAGAGACAATTATTTGCTCTGAGTCACACAGGCAGTTACCCTCACTGGACAGACTTATGTTGACACACCAGTCTGCATGCAAATGTAACTCTACACAACCAAATCACAAAGAGCAAAAGCATTTTTGTAACTTTCCAAAAAATTTAAAAAAAAAAATTCAAAACCTGATATTTTCAGGCATTCTATGACTAACTGAACCCTGTAATTAGCTACTGTAATTATCTACTATATATAATAATTTAGTAGGTAATTATAGAATATATTAACTAATTATATAACCTATTAATCAACAAAAGTCCTCAAGGTCTAGATACTTCATCTAGGCAACTCATGTTAATATGAAATATAAAATGACAGCAAAACTTGCATAATATTAAAACATATTAAAGTTATCATATTATAGACATACATAGTTCACCTAAAAATGAAAATTCATTCAACATGAGGGTGAATAAATGATGACAGAATTTTCATTTTTAGATGAACTATCTTTTTAAATATTCCTTTGCTTATTTAAAAAAAATAAACATTAAAAACATACCTCCCTTCCTTCTCTGTTCATTAAAAAGCAAAGGCTATTTTCCAACAGGAAGAGAGTTGGTGAGTCATCTGAGATGGGATCAGACTATTACTCTCTCTGTCTTTAGTGCACACACATTCTCTCGAAGAGGCTCAAAGTGCATTGGATTACACAGTGAAGTGTCAAGCTTTTTAAGTAAACAGGGACAGGAATGATGAGTCTTATGTATAATGCAAAAGAACAATCAAAACTTCAAAGAGCAACAGCAAAAGGCCATTCTCCAGAGAAACGCTTGAACCGTAGATCACCCAAACCCATTTTAAATCACACCTCTGATCACCAGAGGTTAGCTAACAATGGGTTAACTGTTAGTTTTAATGCTGTCTATATGCTAGTTTACTTGTAAGTTGACAAAAAAGTAGCACATATACACAACGAGTTTCTCCTCCTTGAAAATGGACCAAAAAACAAACAAACAAACAGATGACTCATCTTGTTCATAGGAGCATATACAAATTCTTGTCCAATAAAATGCCCTCTAGAATAAGAATGGCCCATCCTCCTAAATTATAAATACCACCTGCCTACGACAAGCAAACACAAGTAGCATAAATAGTGTTTTAGTGTTGCTGGCCGTGATGAAAAACTAAAAGCTATAGGCAGCTAAAAACAGAACAAGCCCTTTGAGGTGTTCCGGCCCAATTTCCTGTTTCAACAGGAAATACACCAATAAACTAAGGAGAAAAAAAACTGTTCAAAAAACACTTTAACAAGGAGCTGCAGCAAAACTCTTACCTCTGAGAGATGTGGAGTGGGGTTGAATCCACACAGGTTGCACACAGTCTTCTGGCACTCTGTACAGGCGCAATAATTGGGTGACTCTCCTGAACCCACATTCAGCTTCACTTTACATAGTGGACAGCAGGACTGGGCCTCAGAGCCTGAAACTTGAGTCGGAGACCCCTCTACTTCTGTCGATTTTGGAGGGGGCATGTCCGCTGATGATATTCCTTCAGCAGCTGTAGGTTTGGAAGATGCTGTTTCTTTGGAATAAACAGGTGGTGTATCGGGAGGTGACTCTGAGCCTGAGTCAGGGAGGGATACAGGAGGGGAGCCTGCTTCAGACCCAACGGGGGATTCAGGGGGCGATCCTGGAGGAGATTTTGGGGGAGACTTTGATTCCTCCCCAGAAATGAGATTGGTGGCAGAGCTCAGGATGGAAGAGCCAAAACCAAACATCTTTCCAGACACACTCTCGGCAGCCTGAGAACTTGCTGCCGTAGGTTTAGCCGACTCTGTGAGCCCACCGAACCCACTGAAGAGTTTTCCTGTGACCGACTCACTGGCCTGAGCAGCAGAGCTGGCCTGAGGTTTGGACGACCCACCAAAACCACCAAAGAGTTTCCCTGTGACTGACTCAGTAGCCTGGGCACCTGCAGAGGGTTTTGTCACCTCTGCCAATCCACCCAGACCAAATCCCCCAAAAAAGCCCCCTCCATCCTGTTTTGGAGTAGTTTTTGCAGGAGAAGGCTGAGGACTACCTTTTGGGCTCTGTGAAGGTTTTTGAAGAGGTGGAGGCTGCCCACGCTTGGCCCCTAGTTGTGCAGGCTGAGGTCCCTGTTGTGGTCCAGATTTTGGTGTAGTTGGAGGTGTACTTCCTTTCCCCGTATCAGCAATACTCGGTTGTTTGGTCAACATTGGGGGCTTCTTCCCTGTCTCACCCTTAGAGGGAGACCCAGACGGTGGCTCTTTCCTTTGTGGGGAGGGAGGTGCAGAACCCTGCTTGGGGGGCTGTTTCATCATTGAAGGTCCAGGAGGCTCCATGCCCCCCACTGCCCGCTGCATTTGACAGTTCAGACACAACCATTCCTTACCCTGTAGAAACATGCAGAGAAAGACAAGGCACATGAGCACAGATGCAGCAAATACCATTTCTGCTGGAATATTGATTAGCATTTGCATTACCTCAAGCTCATTATATAGAAAATAGTAATCAAAATATTTTCATTTATAGCCAGCCACTCAACAGAAACACCCCATATGCAACATGTTAATTTATGGAGAACTTGCGGTTATACTTTATCATATGTACTCCTTTATTCTTATTGGATTGATTAGTAAGCTCTGAAAGCCATGACTTTTGATTTAATTACATGAAAAACATTTCATTTACTTTTATTGTTGTTTTGGTTGAGTCATTTATTGTAATGCACACTTTAATCCTTTAAAAACAAGAATAACACTGTACAATCATCACTGTGTGAGTAATATTGTTATTCTCTCTAACATAGACCCAGGAATAATGCTAACTGTCTGTATAATCACTGCCTATATAACTCATGAATGTAGTTTCTAAACACAGTGAAAAACAACTTCCTCCACGTCCTGTCTGGGTGATGTAAGTGACCTTGATAATCTTCCACCTTCTGTGCCAATATTTTTCTCCCAAACTCAGGGACGAGAGGAATTAGTGCAAGTTGCATTTTAAGCAGAACCAAATTAGGGTTATTAAAACAAAACCTTGTACAGCTTTAATTACCAAATATGAACTGATTTTGCTGATGTCTTCAAAGAAAGACTCAAAAATAGAGCCTTGTAAATTGTTTATGAAAAATCTGCAATATATGCCACTCTTATCTATATCTGGATAAAACGTAAGACCAGTGTGAGATCTATATGACTGATGTAGTGAAGGTAGCGGATATGTCTCTTACCGCTGAGTCTGGTGGACTGAAGCCGCACAGGCTGCACACTTGCTGTTTGCACTGAGTGCAGGTGTTGTAGTTAGGTGGCTGGTCTTTGGCCTGCACATTCAGCTCTGTGGAATTACAAAGTGGACACAATGCTTTCCTTTGAGCAGGCCCAGCTTTACCAGGCCCTTCCAACTGAGCCCCTGGCCCAGGTTTACCCTGCTGTTGAGGTCCACTGGGTTTTCCTGCAACCCCTGGACCAGGTTTCCCCGGCCCTTGTTGCTGGGGGCCTGGTCCTCCAGGTTTGGGTCCTTGCTGTTGAGGTCCTGGTCCTGCAGGTTTAGGTCCCTGCTGTTGAGCTCCTGGTACCCCAGGTTTGGGTCCTTGTTGTGGTCCTGGTCCACTAGGTTTGGGTCCTTGTTGTTGGGGACCAGGACCTCCAGGCTTACCTTCAGGCGCCTGTCCTTTAGGTGGACCTTGTTGTGGTGGCTTACCCCCTTGCTGCAGAGGACCCTTCCCTGCTCCACTCTGTGGACCAGGAGGTTTTCCTTTTTGCTTTGCAGGCTCCTCTTCCTCATCATCACCAAACAAACTAAATTTTGGGATGCTGGCAGAGTAGACAGCAGAAGAAACTGCACTCAGGGGGTTGGCCCCACTTAAGAAACCAGATGAGAACATGCCGGCTCGTGGTTGTTCTGGGTCTTTGGGCTCCTGCCGGAAACGTGATTCAAGAAGGCTGAGGGAGGAGGGGCTCCGTCCAGGTTTTGGCTTGAGAGGCGGCCCCTCTCCAAATGCATCTACAGTCCGACTTTTACTGAGACCTGCTGGGACTCTGGTGCCACCAGCTTGAGCCTCTGGTGGCCTATGGAGTGAACAGACATAAGATGAACTTCACATTCATTAGCCTCAAGTCAACACAGATTTTGAAAAACCTGTGATTAACTGATATGTACTTTATTTACTTAATTGCTATTCTGGATAAATTCCAAAAAAATAAAAAATAAATTCAAAGGGCATTGCAAATTATTCAGACAATCAATCAAAAGCAAAATTCATGCAGCAGAAAAATGTAAATCTGAAATGGGCTCTGTGGTCATAACATTAGTTAAACAAGAATGAGACATATCCACAATACATATGCAGTTTATTACTGTTGTCAGTCAATAATATTTAACTAGTTTATTCATTCTAAGAGACTGAGGTAACAAAACACACAGAATAAGCCAAAAACAAAGTTAATCGTCAATGTTTTTGTCACAATTTTAATGTGACAGAAAATAAATACAACTGCTAACTAAGGATGCGTCAGAATTTCAGGCCACAAAAAAGGCCAAAAGCTTAAATTATACACAATGGTTACCTTATATATGTATATATATATATATTACATTGCATAAAATATATATAATAACCTTCATATTGTGGTCAAAATTTTAACAAACATATCTGAGTTTCCCAGTTAGGATATTAATGTTCCCATGCCAAGATAAAGAAGGCTGCTCTCTGGTTATTAGTGCTTTAATAAATAGGGTTTTCTTGTGTTTGGGCTATGAGACTAATTAGCACGTCTCAATTTAAAATAACAATTTTTAGTTTTTGGCCCATTGTCACCATGATTCAATTTCAGTGCATCATTATTGTTAACTCAATGGCTGTTCAGCACAGCATCTTAAACTTTTGGTGGTTCTCATGGGCGTTATTTTACATATATTTGAGTGCTCTGTCATTCAGCCACCCAAAGATTATCACGCCACGTCCAAGATTCGTGTTGTTTCTAATCGAGTGGCGCCTCGGCATCACTGCGAGCGTTTCAGCACCACGGACAGCGAACAACATACAATAATCGCTTAAACTGTAACACGGTCCTTGTTTTCAGGTTTAATACTACACGCTCACTCCACAAAAATAATCAAAGCGATCAATGAGCATGATGGAATTTTTGCTTGCAGTGCTATATTTAGTCATATTAATATTTATACCCCCTCCCCCCATTTGCGCTTGGGTAAAAATAACACATTTACGCCTAAGCAACTTTAAAGGCACAATTAGCTTACGAATGAGATCATGTCAAATGGAATGTCGATCGCGTGCTTTCAAGTGATCGAATTTTCATAGACTTGTGTTATTCTCAGGTAGTGTTTTCCAAAGCAGCTCATGACATCACCTACACAGCCCACAGAAGGAAGATGGAGTGTGCATGGAGAACGCAACGGATCTGGATACACAGATGACGGATATTCGTTAGTATGGATTCATATTTTTCAAGGAAATGCTTTTTTTTAAAATTCAGTCTATAACCTTGGTGTCTTGCATGGACTGAATAAGACGGTTTAAAGAAAACTACATTCATTAAAACACTATGCACATCCACTGTGCACATACAGTGGACCCACCATATTAACGATGATGACACTAATTAAACAAAATGCGTTTCGTGCAAATCAGCGGTAATTGTACCTATATGTATATCTATAAAACAGAAGTGCACTAAGGAGGTACTGAATTGCAATCATATGCATGGCTGAAAATTGGGCTGGATTAAATATCTCGCTATAAAACGGCCGTAAACACGCAGCAAGAGCGTGAATGGGTGTGATCATGTTTTGCATCGTTGCTGCTGTCGTGATGTGCCAACATGCAGTGCCCTGATGATCAAAACACAAAAGCACATCATAGACGCGTCCAACACAAGCGCTCCGGCACTGGAGGGATGGACATCATCATCATCGTCATTACGGCATACATTTATAGACACTTGAACTTGCCTGGACTGCGCTTTGGCCATAGCGGCCACAAGCTGCTTTCTTTCCTCCTCTGACAGATTACTGAGGTCTGCCTCCACCCCTGTAGACATCTGGATGAAGCCACCCTTCCCGTCAGGTGCGAGTCCCGCTGGTAATCCAGCGAGCGCCCCTTCGCCACCTTCCAGGCTCGCTTCATTCCCCATGATCGACCCCCTTTGCTTTAATCCTCCTCCCTCCAGCTAATTACGCGGCGATACGGCTCTTAATGCCCGGAATAAGGCGACAGCGTCGGTATCCGCGATTGTTTTGGATGCATGGCGTTTTATTTCTCCATTTCAGTCGAGGGTCTCTGTGGCGATAACGCACATCCCGAGAGCAGAGCCTCTCCGCGCGGGTGTAGATCTAGAGTTGTGCGCCTCCCTCCTCCATCCATCCAACGCGGATGTCCCGCCCCTCACAGGTGATCATAAGACGTCGCCGTTGGAAAAAAACGAAATTAAAGGGACAAAGCGCCTTAGAATTAACAAATCTTCTCATAATTACCCTGATTATTTTGCTTTCAAGCCGAGCCAATAATTCCCTAATTAGCAAACTGATTTGGTGGAGAGCAGCTGGTTTTGTAGTAACAAGACTTGAAACACTTTGCATTACAGAAAGCATGTTACATATGGGCCTGTAAATATCTTTAATTGTGTAGTCGACAGATTACATATCCATTAATTGTTTTTCAAGGTTTTTTGTTAATTTATAGAACGGAAAAACCTGGGCTAGTTGTTATAAAAGCAAGATCTCATTACCTTAAAAAAAAAACATTTAAACTTGCTGAAAATTTACTCACCCTCAGGCCATCCAAGATATAGATTAGATTGTTTCTTCATCAAATATGTTTGGAGAAATTTAGCATTGCATCACTTGTGCTTGCTTTGTATTAAGGATTATGGACTAGTATTTTGGCCACAAGTAATGGTCAAAATTTAAAATGCCGTAAAAGTGGATTTGTTTCTTACAAAAAACACAGCTAATTGCTTCACAAGACATTAACTGATGGACTGCAGTTGTGTGGTTTATTGTGATGTTTTTATCAGCTGTTTGGACTGATTCTGACGGAACCCATTCACTGCAGAGGATCCACTGGTGAACAAGTGATGTAATGCTAAATTTCTCCAAATCTTTCCTAATCAAAACACAAACTCATCTACATCTCGGATGGCTTTAGGGTGAGTAAATTTTTCATTTTTAGGAAAATTATTTCTTCAAAAGTTTTCAGTAAAAAGTCTAAAAGGTATGTTTTCTTTTACAGTGGCTCCACACTAAAATGTTTAAGCAGTTTCATGAGTTGTTTTGAAGTGAAAAAATCTACAAGAAATTAAAACTACAGCCTTTGCAGCTGAACATAGTGTATCCAATTAGATCAGAACACCAGGGGGTAACATTTTATGGTCTAAAAATGCTTAGTCCTTATTTTAGGCTACTCTCAGTTCCACATTATCAGCACTGTATTTGATTTTGTAGCATTATTATAAGTGTTCCCTCGGCTCTTAGTACTTGAATTTGTTCTTAGTTCTCTGCTCTGTTACTTTGGTGATATTTGCACCTTTTTCAAGCTGCTTTGAGGAAGATATAATGATTGAAGTTGTAAAATAAAACTGAAACAGTACTGCATCTTTCATTAGTCTTCTGTTTTGGTGCATAAGAGTGAATTACCTGTAAGATGTAGTCATCCAACCACTGCATAGATCACACATTCACAAACACATCCATTCACAGACTCAGTCATCCTGCTCACAGGTCTCCTGCTGAATAGGAGTCACTGCATCAATATGTCCATAAGTCATCAATATGTCCTTGGCTCATAGCTATGCCAAGGGCCTGGAGACAGAAGGAGACACTGAAGGAGTTTGTCACCAATGACTTCTACAGAGTCAAGAGAGAAAATTGGCAGGGACACATTGCCTGCTTTACAGGACTGTATGTCCTGACAGAGCCATTTGTCCTCAAAATCAAACATCAGAGGACACAAACCTGTTGGTTTCACAGAGAAACAGCATTGCAGACAGTAGGTCTGAAGGCTGTGGGATTTTCTTTTTGCTCCAACAATAGCATGTTCATTGAATTGAAACCCAGAAAGCCCCAGACGTGCAACTTAATATAACTGAGCCTTGAGGAGTGACGAAAGAAAATCCTGTCTCCATTAGCAACCTTTATTGATTCCCACTATTTTTGCAGAGATGAAGCTGACTGCACGATCACTCTCACCAGATGAACACATCATTGAACCAACCCTGAACAAAACGTGTGATAAAATGTTAGGGTGTTATCCAGGGATGCATACATTTCCTTAAGTTCTTAAACAGTTGATATCAAACACTGTAATTAAACTCACAGCTGCCAAATTAAATGCAGAAACACATTTAGTGAGTCATTCTTATCTGTCCATTTTCAATGCTTAATCTGATATGGAGATGTGATAATGCTAGAATAGCTTCTGAAACTAAAACCAGAGGTGCATTATCTAAAAAAATTAAAAATAAAGTGAAATAAATAAATAAATACACACTGTCTGAACCATAGCCTAGCTGTTAGCACACATGCCTCTGACAAATTGAGTTGTGGTGATTTCCTAATCCTGTTGCCCTCTCTTCTCCCAATCATTTTAAGTGCTTTCTATAGTGTTTCATCAATAAAAATGGCAAAAAAGGCCACAGGAAAAAACCTGAACCAGCTAATTAAAGTCTTCCGGATCTCTTGAAAATCACAGACAGGTGTGGAACAGCAGGGATGAACCAAACACGGCAGAAAGGAAGATCTCCAGGAGCACGACTGAGCATCTGATTTATCTTCAGCTATGGTCTTAACAATACAACAGCTCCACGCCAGAAACCGATTAGGCAAAGGAAATGAACACTTACTGTAAAAATCTGATTTATAATTTGTGCATTCACAGGATTACACCAAGCAACATGCTTAATCATTGACTGTACTCACAGTGTTATTTTAGTATTTATTTATATACTATGTTATATAAATGTATTAATATTTTGAATTATCTTTTATTTTTATATTTTCAGTTTTCATTTTAATTTATATTTTAGCAAATTTTGTTGTGCTTTTGTCTTTTTTTTAATTTTATGTAATTTATAATTAAAATTATTATTTAACAAAAAACCATCCTCTGAGTATCCAGATATCCGTTGTGTTCTCCATGCACACTCCATCCTTCTTTTATGGGCTTTAGAAAACACTGCCTGAGAATAACACAAGTTATTTAATTTTTTATATTTTGTTTTTTTATTATTTTTATTTCAGTTTTAGTAATTCATCTTAATTAGTTGCCATGGCGCATATTTTACTTTATTTCAGCTTCATTTCAAATAACAAAAAAAAAGTTTAGCTACCGAAAACAACACTGATAGTCCATCACTAATAATGTTAATAAAGCAACCATTTCGCACACACTTCTCCAAGATCTGGCCTTTTCATTCAAGGCTCAGACACCAGTCATGCTACTACATGCATTTCATTCCTATAAGAATATCAGATTCCTCTAATGCTGTTTCCAGCTTCCTATTAACTGTTACATGTTATCCTCTCCACCCTGTTCAACATCAGAGTGACTGCTGTGTGCTGTGACAGTGGAGGCTTATTCATCCCAGTCCACAGCTCCAGGGGGAATTCGTCCTCTGTGCAACCAGCTTTTATCCCTGGGCTATATTGAGAAGATGGACTCTTATCAAGATCCACAGATCCTCTAACGATCTCCACACATCAATTAACGAGATCAAACGGCATTAGCAGTCAGTTAAGCTCTCTATTATGACTATCTGCTGTTGGCACCACAATCAGGATAAATACAATGACAGGAGAGTCAAAGACTACTATTATTGTTGTTAGGGGGTTATTCCCTCTTTTTCTCTCCCTCTCGTCTACAGTGATGAACGGCGGCCCAGAACAGATAGCCTTTCCCACACAGGGCTGACCAGTGGAGCGAACACTAATGACCTTAACGCTCTGAAGCGGAAGTACACACACATATACAATGTCACACACATAAACCACTGTAAATATAGCTATGAAACCTGGTCAAACTGTTTGAATACAGTGCCATTCAAAAGTTTAGGGTCATTAAGATTTTGTTTTTTGTTTTTTTTGAAGGAAGTCTCTTATGCTTATCAATGCTACTATTTATTTGACCAAAAATACAGTAAAAACTATACTGTGAAAATACTATTGGGAAAAAATATAATAGTAATATTATATATTTTATAATGCAATTTATTCCTGTGATGCAAAGCTGAATTTTCAGCAGTTATTACACCCCCAGTGTCACATGATCCTTCAGAAACCATTCTAATATGCTGATTTGGTGCTCAAGAAACATTTCTTATTATTATCAATGTTGAAAACAGTTTTGTTGTTTTTGTGGAAACCGTGATATATTTTCCAGGATTATTTAATGAATATAAAGTGCAAAGGAACAGTATTTATATGAAATAAAAATCTTTTGTAACATTATAAATGTCTTTACTGTCTCTTTTTTATCAATGCTTCCTTGCTGAATAAAAGTAATAATTTCCTTTAAAAAAAAAAAACTACCCTAACTTTTGAGCAGTAGTGTATATCCTGTATATTCTATAGCCACATATGCTCACCTGACTTCCTGTAGCAGCCTGTCTCTCTAATGAATACACATACACACTCATTTACATACATTGTAGGCATTAATAATGCTATACAGTGTGTCAGTGAGTGTGTGTGTGTTGCTGTGTGACATGTATTATATGTATGCCGGTGTGTATGGGTGACTTACAGCTCACGGAGAAGCAGAGAAGTGTAACTGAAGCCTGGAACCTAATCACACACACAGTGCGTTGCTCATTAAAGTTGAATATGGACTTCAATACAGAAAATATGGCTGGCATGACCCTTCAGATGAATGTAAGGGAGATAAAACATTGTTAATGAAAGTTACACACATGTTCTGTGCTTCATATAAACCATGACTAGTCTACAAAAGGCAGTTTGGTCGTTTTGATACAGACCTGGACAATCATTTCTACCTGTAAACATAATACAATTTCTGTCCAGACGATTTACCGCTGACACTTTCAGAAGTGACTGTGCAAGTGTATATAGTCACTAACACAGACAAAAACAACTATCACACATGTGGCAAGAGTTATAAGTGCTGCTGAGTTGCAAGAGGAAGTGAGAAAAGAGTGACAAAGAGATTCAAAATTGGATCCAGAAAACAATGGTCACATACCTGCACTACAAGCTGACAGTCTGTTGTTGGCTGTAGTACTCGTGAGTGGACAGCTCCTTGTGCACTTTGCTCCCTGGGCGATGTTTCATTTGTGGTATATTAGTCGTCCTGATCTCCACATCCTTCTGCATGTGCCTAATTCCTCCCTTAACACCCCGTTTTCCCTTCTGATGAACACTAATAACTGCCTGGCTAAAAATACACTCTTA